TAAGTACAATAATAAGCCCAATCAATTTTTGTATCCAGGCTTTTGCTACTTCGGGTCTTTTCACAGAAATTAAAAAATCTTCAATATTAGTCCCCGCTCTTCAATCTGAGTGGTTAATAATGCACGTAAGTATGATGATAGTGGGTTACGCAGCTCTTATATGTGGCTCCTTATTATCAGTAGCACTTATGGTCATTACCTTTAGAAAAAATGAAAATATTTTTAAAATGAATTATATTTTTTCGGCTAAAAATTTTTATAAGATTCAATTAAGTAAAGAATTGGATTATTGGAGTTATCGAGTTATTAGTTTAGGGTTTATCTTTTTAACCATAGGAATACTTTCGGGGGCTTTGTGGGCGAACCAAGCGTGGGGATCTTATTGGAGTTGGGATCCTAAAGAGACTTGGGCTTTTATTACTTGGATAGTGTTTTCAATTTATCTACATACTCGAAGAAATAGAACTTTCGAAGGTGCTACTTCGGCAATTGTGGCATCTATAGGTTTTCTTCTTATTTGGATATGTTATTTTGGAGTCAATTTAATTGGATTAGGTCTACATACTTATGGTTCATTTTCGCGAACATAAAAAAAGACATTAATTTTTTACTTCGTGAAAAGCTAAAAATTTGTGAAACCCGTGCTCTCAAATAAAAATATTTCCTATTTGAGAGCACGGGTGTTCAATAAAAATAGAATGAATTCAAATATACTTTTCTGGACCAGATCAATAAGCGAGACCCATACTGCGAGTTGTTTCATGCCATAAATAAACTCGAACACTCAAGAAATCTGTTGGGCAGGCGGATTCACATCTTTTACAGCCTACACAGTCTTCTGTTCTCGGAGCAGAAGCAATTTGTTTAGCCTTACATCCGTCCCATGGTATCATTTCTAAAACATCGGTGGGGCAGGCTCGGACACATTGAGTACATCCTATACATGTATCATAAATCTTTACAGAATGTGCCATTGGACGAATAAATTTATAAACTTTATGAATTATCGATATAGTATCCTCCAAATATTATTTTTATCCAATATAAAATTATAAGATACTTGGTTTTTAGATACTATATGACTCAATGAATTCTCAGAAGGATTCTAATCAATAGATTTCTGGATTGGTTTTGAAAATAAAAAAAAATTATTTTATGTTTTAATATTATCATTTTTTTATAACTACGCAAACTACCTACAAACTACCTAATAGGGTAAATAAGGATTCTTTTTTTAATTAACTCAATCTATTGTTTTAAAGTTTTAAATAAATACTCCCTTCAAATTTATACAGTAAGAATCAATAGACAAAAGGACATGATGTCTTTCTATTCACTACCCCAAGCTATTCTTTTTTAATTGTTTCAGTAACCATATTGTTGTTCTAAATTTACCTCTATAATAGGTTTGAAAAGCTATGCAACTTCAAAATGAATGAGTTTTTGTCTCTCTAATCTCCAATTTATCAATTAATTCTTTATAGCGGAATTTATTTTTTTTTGATAAATAAGCTAAAAGTCGTTGTCGTTTCCCCAAAATTTTACGTAAACCTTTTTGAGATAAATAGTCTTTTTTGTGCAATTTCAAGTGGGAAGTAAGCCGGTGTATTCTATTGGTGAAATTCCATACTTGAAATTCAACGGAACCTCTGTTTTGTAAGTTTTTTATCATAAACTAAATGAACTCCCTTCATTGATATATAATATGCATTTAAAATAATTTTTTATAATTAAGTTCTAGATTCATTTCATAGATATGAAATAATTGATTAGTAACTAAAACGAACGAACAAAAAATAAAGAAAAAAAGGATAATATTATTTACTTTTATTCTATATTATAGAATAAATCAACTTGACAGAAATGAGTCCAATGTTTTCTTATTTTTTTTGTAAAAAAAAACTTTGAAACTTACCCGTTAAAAGAGATTTTGCTAATGAAAGAGCTTTTAATCTTACCTCAATAGTCTTTCTTTTCCAAATGTTCTTACGAATACGCTTTTTGGCTTTCGAAATACGTTTTTTTGGAACTGCCATTTCAAATGATTTACAGGTTATCACTGGATGTGAAAGACATTTATTGCTAAAAAGGAATTCTTCTAACTAAGTCTATCAATTCAAATCAAAAGAAAACCCTTTCTTTTAGGGTTCATTAATAAAATCAAAGTGAATTTTTTCAACTTAATATTCTTTTAATGAGGTACAATATATCTATATAGATCTAGATAGATATATGGTATCCTCAATTCAGTTAGATCCAAATTAAAATGAGGTATAAAATAGGGTATGTGTCCATATTGGTTTTCATCTAACCTGCTACCATCTACCCTGCTACAGGGTAGATAGTACTACTATCAATTAAATTTCCACCAATTTAAATTCAATGGTAAATACATATGGATCCTTAACATACTGAAACGACTCCCATTATTAGTATAAAACCAATAACGATTCATACAAGCTAAATCTTCCAATCGATAATTAGGCCAAAGAAAAAATTCAATTAATTTATTTTGATCCTTAGGCCCAGGGTTGCTTTCTTCCCAAACTTTATTTTTGTTGGAAACTAGAGAATTTGCATCCACGCCATTCCATTTGTGTGAATTGAAACAAATTAGAGTTCTTAATTCTCTACGACGCCTAGATGATAAAATATTTTCAATAAGAAGCGGATCACAATTATTGTTCTCTCGAGCGCGAATTATTCTTTGTTTTACGTCTTCTTTATTAAGAATTTGTTTACTCTTATGAACCAACGAAATAACTATCGTTTCATACATAAGAAATTCTCCATTTGGTTTGATAGACAGCGGAAGGGGGTCGACCAAAAATCCCGTCTTTTTTAAAAATTCTGGAACACTCTCTTTTGAATCTGGAACACTCTCTTTTGAATCTGGAACATTTCTTTTTGAATCTGGAACACTCTCTTTCTGATCCATCTGTGGCATTAGACCCAAATTTAACTTTTCCCTTAGAATCCATGATAGCATCATTTTTTTTCGATTTATCATTCTAAGCAAGAGACAATAGATTTGGAGATCTTGGAAAAGGCCTTGATTTAAAGTAAAATCCTCTCTAAATTGAAAAAATAAATAGTTTTTCATGAATAACTCTAGTTCTATCTCAGTTTGACTTTTCTTTTCACCTTCAGTTTCACCTTCAGTTTCGCCTTTGGTTTCACCTTCAGGTTTACCTTTGGTTTCACCTTCAGGTTTACCTTTGGTTTCACCTTCAGGTTTACCTTTGGTTTCACCCTGAGTTTCACCTTTGGTTTGACCCTCAGGTTCACTTTTGGTTTGACCCTCGGCTTTATCTTTTTTTTTACTCTCAGTTTTATCTTTTTTATCTTTCTGAGTTTTACCGGTCTTTTGACTTGTCATTTCATTAAGATTCAAATTTGAAATAAGTGATTCGCTTGGTATAATCCATGGTTTCAGTTTATATAAATTAACAAACCACACAAATTCTGGGAAAACCAAAAGTTCCTCAGCCGTTAATGGACGGTCGAGTATTTCTTCATTCAGTCCCATCCAATCCAATAAAGAATTTCTAGAATGGAGTCGATTCATTTCGGTATTTTTCTGAATCAAAAGAGCAAAAGGATCTTTTTCGTTTTTAAAAATTTGCTCAATTTTCAAAATTTCTTCCATTTTATCAATTAATTGATAATTGTAAGTGAAAATTGGAGTATTTTGAGTATTGTTATAATTACCCGTGATCCAGGACTCAATATTCGCTTTTTTTTTAAGAGAAAAATCAATATTTTTCCAATTCAAATATTTTCTATCGACATCTTTTTTTGGATATGGAATATTTAACCTTTCTATTTTTCCTCTGAAACTAGTGATAGGAATATTTTTCGTTATCGCAAACAAGTTGTTTTGTGACATCTTGTAATGATAAGAAATTGCTTCCCGTTTAGCTCCTGGAGGGGTTCCACTATTTTTTTCATACTGAATGTATTGATATGCTAAAAGATCATATCGATAGCATTTTTTTAAATTATCTTTTGTTTTTTTATTCAAGACTGAGTTAGCATCCTTTTGTTTCCTGTAAGTATTTAATTTTAATTTTTTACCGGAAGTCCTTTTGTCTAAATATTTTTGTTTAGACCTACGATAGCGATTCGCCCTATTTCTCCATTTTTGTTTTTGTGATCTTAAGGCAGACCAGAAATTAGGAGATAAATCGTAGTGAGAATTCCCTTTTAACCAAAATTTCCATTGACTCGTTCTAGGCCGCTTAAGTTGTTTTTTTATTCCTTCAGATGGAAGTATTCCTTGTGTATGAAATGAGTCTTTTATTTTCTTTTTAATCAAGAAAGATGTTCCATTTTGTTGAAGAACAGATATGAAATTACGTACGTTCAAAAAACCCCTTTCTGATATTTTGTACAATACATATGCTTGTGACAAGTTGGATAAATCACCAAAACTCTCTGAATTTTCCTTATAAAGCTTATTATTATGCGTTTTTATATTTGAATTTGAAAGAGAGTTCATTTTTGTTGATTCCACAAAGACTTTTTGAGTCATTTGGCAAATAGATATAGTATATAAAAAAATACAATTAGATATTCTTTGAATAAATAATTTTATAAAATAATTAAATTTATATATTAATCTATTTTTTTTTTTTTTCAACATTTGACAAAAATTTTTTGACAAGGCTAATCTCGAACTTTTTTTGTAAGGGTTCATATCAAGTTCTAGAGTGACCCTTTTCTTATCTTCCGTAATTCTTTCTAGTTTTTTTTTAATTGTACTTGTCCTATGAGTGATAGCCTGCATTTTGTCTATCGGTGAATAATTTTTCCAATCTGTAATTTTTTCAATTTTACTCAAGGGTTGATTCATTATCTGGTTATTTATTAGATCATCTTTTTCATTTTTTATTACACTCGGGTGTATTGTTCTTGTTTCTTTTGAACTTGTGTTTTTTTTTGAAAACTTTTTTAAAAATTTAATTTTTACTTTTACAAATTTGTAAAGTTCCTTAAAAACAGGCTTAAAAAACGAAGGTTTTTGTCGTGGATGACCAAAAGGGTGTTCTGTTTCCCTTCCCCAAACTGTTAAAAAACAAAAGTCATCACGAGAATTTAGCGATTTATATTCGTGCCAAGGTTTGAGACAGAAAGGAAATAAAATTTTGATTTGAATACCTTCTGTCAACCAATTTTCCGGAAATTTTTTGTCAGCTAACGGAATACCATTATAAGTACACTTCACATGCGTTTCTCTATTCCATCCCTTTAAATCTTCAGACCATTCAGGAGTTTGAAATAGTAGCATACGCCCGATATTTTTACCGATTATGAATGAAGGTAATAGAATCTTTTTTCTGAGAATTGATTGGGTTATTAATAAAAAACCTCTTATTATTTGGGTATATGGAAAAGTCTCCCAGGCTTCCCCTATCTCTAACCGTTCTATTTCCTCTCGTCGTTTTTTTTTCCTTTTTGGTTTCTCTTTTTATTATTATTTTTTTTTCCTCTGTAGATTCTAAAATCCCAAACTCTTTTATGGATGACCATTTTCTAAAAAGCCGTTTCAGTTGAGCCAGGTATGGTAGAGAAAAAAAGGTTTTTTTCCTCATCCTGTCAAAAAAAAAGAGGGGAATGCGCATATTGCTTTAAAAAGTCCCTCAATAACTATTTTACGTCTTTGAGTTCGCATAGAGTCTTTTATTAAGCCTTGGCGAAAATCAGATTGGTGCGGATATCGTAATAAAAAAAGCTTATTATCCTCATCTTCCTTTTTCTTTTTAATATTTTTATCTTTCTCATTATCGTCGGATTTTATAGCTTGAATATTTGTATCTTTTGTATTCTTATCTTTGTTTGTAGTCTTATCTTTGAGAGTCTTAGGTTCTTCAAAAATTAATACACTGATCCCTTTTCTTGAACGAATATCATGATCATCTGGTGGATTTGTAAAATACGATATTTGTTCCAATTCAGTTATTAATTTGTATGACCATCGGGGGACTTTTTTACCAATTTCTTCTTTACCTATTTTTTCTATTGCAGAAGATTTTTTATCGTCTGTCTCAATTGCATTTACTAAAAATTTTGTTAGTTGTTCTGAATCCGTTAAATTGAAACTTGATGATAAAGTTGAGAACTCACCAACTTGTAATGGTTTTTTTTCCTTTTTTTC